TCATAGAAAATATGCGTCCTTCGACAGAAATCGAATCTGTATCCTATACGGAACCGTCATATAGCCTGACGTGCCTTTAACCTATCTGGCCACAGAGGAGCGTTCGGTTAGCAAAGTCGATTTTACTGTCTTTAAACTACAATCTTCCACGATTCTTTTCCATGATGTGTCCAATTCATAATGTGAGACGTCATTTGTTTACATTTGGATATGCCATGAGCAGATATGAATGTACGTGAGAGAATCATCGAAGATTATATATATATATATATATATATATATATATAAGAGAGATAACGATATATATATATATCGTTCATGCACATGTGTAATCGCACAAACATAACAAATTAAGCCCTAAAGGACGAAATGCGTGGCAAGAAAACGTTTTCCACTTAGTCATATATATGTATATATATATATATATATGTGTGTGTGTGTGTTTGTGTGTTTGTGTGTGTGTGTGTGTGTGTGTTTGTGTGTGTGTGTATTTCATATTAGCTCCCGAAAAATAAATAATTCGGTCGAGCACTGTCGGGAGAAAAGCGCGAATTTGTAAACAGTGACTATTAATGCTGATAATGCAAGACTCCCCACGTGGGATTGAGTTCTCTAGGTCTTGGCGTGTGTATGAAAAATAAATACGCAAGTGTTCGTCTTTCTCTCTGACAGACGTCGATAGCCCTAGTGGTTAGTATCTCCGACTGATGACAGCTTGGTCGGGTTTCGGCCCTGGCTTGAATCCGTAGGATGTCTAGCGACACTGATGAGCTGTGAAACAGCAAAACAATCTGTGGATGGATCTCTCTCTCTCTCTCTCTCTCTCTATATATATATATATATATATATATATATATATTTTAGGCATATATTTTTATTAAGACATGTCTCATTGAATAATTTAGACAAGTTTTGTCTACTTGTTTTAAAAAGGATCCTCTGATATTTACTGACAAGCTTCTTAGTATCCTTAAAGAAAGTGAGAAAATTACCATTTTGATACAGATTCATTTATTCCGAGTACTTTAGACATTAACACACGGTCATCCTCACAGTGTTGTTTTTTCTAAAACAAAATGGCAATTTTCTCTCTTCCTTTACTTAGTATACTAAGAAGCTTGCCAGTTAATATGAGAAGATCCTGACGAAAATAAGTAGACAAAATTCTCATTCAAAAAGAGATATTAACTTCATCTACCGCAGGGAAAGTTGGTTCTCTTTGTCGTACCAGAAAGTTTTTCTCGTGTAAGTGCATCCTTCAAATCTGTAAATCAACCATCCGTCCTTGCATGGAATATTGCTGCTATATATGGTCTGGTGCCCCTGCTGTACGTCTCGAGGTCCTCGACAAAATCCAGAGACGGATATGCAATGTGATAGGTCTCGATCTGGCATCTAGTCTACAATCGCTAATCCCACGAGACGTTCCGCGGTTTCCCTCTGTCTCTTCTATAAGTATTTTCAGGGCAACTGTTCCGAAACTGGTATTCCAGTCTCACCCTTTCACTGTCGAAACGGTTAAATGTAACCGCCCCTTCTACTCCAAACGTTTCTTCTCTCGCACTCTCCGTCTGTGAAACTCCCTTTCTCTTAATTACCTTCCCTGATAACTATAATCTTAAAATATTCAAGTGTAATGTCAATCGACATCTTCTGATAACTTGATCTTGTTCCCCGTAATTCCCTGTGTTCTTTCCACAACACGCCTCTTTAGTCTTGTTCTCAATCCTCTGTATCCTTGCGTGATCCCTTGCTTGGGGTGGGAGGAATTTACTTATATATATATATATATATATATATATATATATATATATATATGTTATAATTTGTAAACAAATAATCATATATATATATATATATATATATATATATATAAAAGACATTTTTATGTTTATACATTCTTTTTATAGATACAAATAGTTAAGTAAATGCTCTGTTTATAATAAACAGTATTAAACAACATTTACCGGCCTGAATGTCCGAGAAATTTTCACAGAATATATTCGTCCTCCGACAGGATTCGAACGTGTATCCTATACGGAACTGTCATATAGCTTGACGTGCCTTTAACCGATTTGGCCACAGAGGAGCGTTCGGTTAGCAAGGTCGAATTTACTGTCTTTAAACTTCAATCATCCATGAATCTCTCACGTACATTCATATCTGCTCATGGCGTATCAAATGTAAACCAATGACGTCACCCATTATGAAATGAACAAAGTCCGACAATTATTTTAAGTCATTTTTATGTTTATACATTCTTTTTATAGATACAAATATTTAAGTAAATGCTCTGTTTATAATAAGCAGTATTAAACAACATTTACCGGCCTGAATGTCCGAGAAATTTTCACAGAATATATTCGTCCTGCGACTGAATTCGAACTTGTATCCTATATGTAAGCTAAATGACGGTTCCGTATTGGATATCTGCACAAATAAACTTAAATATATACGAGTTTGTCGTTACTTAAAATTTTCATGCAGCAAGCGCTGACTATCATTGTTGTTTCGTCCGCAATAATGCTCATCAACTACCGAGAATTGAAACCCGAACAGTTACGTTATCAGACAAAAGTCATACCAACTGTACCAACGGGCCTTGGTGACAAAGTGGTCGCGAATTAGCCTCGATATAGCGCTGCTCAATCGCATATTCCCTGGTGGAACTCATCCGCCTTTCCCTTAACCATAGGACTGTGCCCCCACAAACCGGGACAACTATATCCAGAGCAATCCCCACTGCAGACGCCTAATCAGGCATATTTGTGTTTGTTCAACACCCACAGAGCCCACCTGTGGACTATACTGCAACTATGTTGAGCGGACCTTAGTTACAGTCCCTGGGAGAAAGCGCGTTATCTAACGTGATCAACAGTCTGAACAAAGCCAATAAGCTCAAGGCTTCGGTCACGATGACTTGTGACTTCATGCTAGCACAACTTCCGACGTCTCCCAAAGGTTCGAGTGGTTAGAACGTTCGCTTACTGACCATGAGACCCGGGTTCGAATCTTACAATAGTCGATTTGTCAGGGAGGAGTTGATATGATCAGCTAGGCTATCCTACCGTGCGGCACCTTTGGAAAGTGCCTAAAAACAATACCACCGGTTGACCCAAGGCCATAGCACTATGAAAAACCATTATTATTGCAATCTTTTATGTATTATTCTCTTTCGTGATATTGTAAAATAAAGCTTGTTGGTTTTGTTACGTTTGGTTTGGTTTGTTTTACGGAAGATCAGGCACAATGGGTTATTTAATGTCGACAAGATTTTTATTGCTGGTTTGGTTTGGTTTGTTTTACGGCACATCAATCTCAATGCGTTATTTAATGCCGACAAGATTTTTATTGCTGGTTTGGTTTGGTTTGTTTTGTTTTACAGCATATCAACCTCAATAGGTTATTTAATGCCAACAAGGTTTTTATTGCTGGTTTGGTTAGGTTTGTTTTACGGCACATCTATCTCAATGGGTTATTTAATGCCGACAAGATTTTTATTGCTGGTTTGGTTTGGTTTGTTTTACGGCATATCAACCTCAATTTATTTAATCGCGACAAAAGCTTTTATTGTTGGTAATATTATTTTCCAAAAATGTATTGTTGGTAATATTTTTTCAAAAATGTATTGCTCGTATTAAAACCTATTCTTATACTTTCATAGTGTTTTGACCTCTTTTGGAGGGTTAAATATTTGCCCATAGATGGGACCCTGACAGGTATTACCACCCCGCACCAGTGTGAACCTGGGAACACCAGCAATTAAGAGGTTGTTCCATGCTCCTTAAAACCTCTTTATCAAAGTCCTTGCTGTCGAATGAAGTTTATCGTCATACCCACGACGCAGATGTAGTTTATCGTCATACCCAGGACGCGGATGTAGTTTATCGTCTCACCCAGGACGCTGATGTAGTTTATCGTCATACCCAGGACGCGGATGTAGTTTATCGTCTCACCTAGGATCCGGATGTAGTTTATCGTCTCACCCAGGACGCGGATGTAATTTATAGTCACACCCAAGACGCGGATGTAGTTTATCGTCTTACCCAGGATGCGGATGCAGTTTATCGTCATACCCAGGACGCGGATGTACCTTATCGTCTTACCCAGGACGCGGATGTAGCTTATCGTCTTACCCTGGACGCGGATGTAGTTTATCGTCTTACCCATGACGCGGATATAGCTTATCGTCTTACCCTGCACGCGGATGTAGTTTATCGTCATACCCAGGACGCGGATGTAGTTTATCGTCTCGCCCAGGACGCGGATGTAGTTTATCGTCATATCCGAGACGGAATAAAGCCAGTCTTTCTCCTTTCCACGAACTTCGAGATTTGTCGACTATTTTCTTCGCAATATTGTTTTTATTGAATATTGTTAACCTTCTTATCTGAATGCTTGTCACTTGTTCCCGAGCGTCCCGTAAACTTTCGCGATCACAAGCGGTCAATTTTTCAACTCATTTTTCCGATATATATTTTTTTTTCCTAATGGTTTTTTTCCTAATCTTCTGGAAACATTAGATTTAATCAGATGGACACTATTTCGCCGATGAGGATGCAAACTAACATGGAAATATCAAAGAAAACAATTATTCTCTATGTTTCAATCGTCATTGATGTACCATTTTTACATTGCCAAAAGTGTATACGTGATAATTCGTAAATGTTTCGCATCCATTTTTTTCTTTTCTTTTCTTATGCTCATTTCTGACAAAGCGGTTGCAGTCACGTACGATAGCCAATAATCTCTTTCTTTCTTTCTCTCTCTCTCTCATTCTCTTTTTTTTCTGTCTTGACAGTTTTACATTCGTCACGCCATCTTTCCTAATTAATAATTCGTGTCATTTATTTTTGCAATACTGGGACACTCTAAAACTCATGTTTCGTATCCTGAGAAAATTTTAACATTCTAGATTTGTCATCACGACAACAAAATATGCAGACATGCAATTCTGGAGAAAGGAAAATGCTTTTTTCTGGATATGTCAAAAGTACTAACTAAAGGTGTACTTCGATATATAATAACAGGCTGATAGATAGATAGATAGATAGATAGATAGATAGATAGATAGATATGAACATAATGATAACTAAATGGATATGAACAGGATGAGATAGATAGATAGATAGATAGATTGATAGGTATGAACATAATGATAGCTAAATTGATATGAACAGAATGAGATAGATAGATAGATAGATAGATAGATAGATAGATAGATAGATAGCGAAATGGATATGAATAGATAGATAAGTAGGTACGTAGATAGATAGATATGAACATAACGATAGCTAAATTGAGATAGATAGATAGATAGATAGATAGATAGATAGATAGATAGATAATGATAGCTAAATGGATATGAATAGATAGATAGATAGATAGATAGATAGATAGATAGATAGATAGATATGAACATAATGATAGCTAAATGGATATGAACAGGATGAGATAGATAGATAGACAGACAGACAGACAGATAGATAGATAGATAGATAGATAGATAGATAGATAGATAGATAGATATGAAGATAATGATAGCTAAATTGATATGAACAGAATAGATAGATAGATAGATAGATAGATAGATAGATAGATAGATATGAACATAATGATAGCTAAAGGGATATGAATAGATAGATAGGTAGGTACGTATATAGAGAGATATGAACATAATGATAGCTAAATTGAGATAGATAGATAGATAGATAGATAGATAGATAGATAGATACGGACCTGATGAAATAGATAGCTAAATACATATGAAGAAAGAAAGAAAGAAAAAAAGAAAGAATGAAAGAAAGAAAGGAGTAATGTCCTGAAGGGTAGCCCGTTTGAACATCTGGCATGGAAATATTGACAGAGGAGAGAGCGACTAGCAAAGTCCCCTTTGTCTTAAAGGTGTTATCGGGTTGAAAATATTTCATAACAAAGAATGGAGTTGGGCACCCACTTAACAAATCATCAAACTCCTTATTTAACCAGTAAATAACGTTTTTTTCAGTAATTACTGATGAATCAATTCACGGGCTTGTCTTTTGGTGGGACTGGTGACCGTCAACTGGCCCAATAATATACATTGTATTTCAAAATTAGTATATATTTCCAGCAACCTATCTGGCCGAAGTATTCAAAGTACTTCTTTGCTTGGTGTTTACACACAGACTTAAAAGTATACTGCTCATAAACGGTAGCGTCAAACGTTACTACATTCGGTTCTCGAACCCTCTTCACATTCACTGAAATTTTAAGGAACATGGGTACGGTAGCCCCACATAGATGACTATATGACATATAGTGCTTTAATGAGGTTATGGGGTCCTCCCCTTTTCATATAAGTGGACTCTACCAGTGTTACTTGGACTGCTGCCGTTAAATACCCAGAGTGAGACAGGCAGTGAGAGAGGATATACGGAGAGAGAGAGAGAGAGAGAATATACGAACGGAGATAGAGTGAGGTAGCTTCTTGTAGAAGTCAGTTACAAGCACGTAGACTCTAAGGAAGTCCTACTTGTAGACTGATTATATATCCATCTGTATTTGCTACCAACCGCTTTCCAGGACTTACTAACAGTATTAACCTTTGTATGACTGTGTAAATACATTTTATTTCTTATATTTAATCCTTGCGTTTGTCATTCATTGGAGACCGAATTCATCTCGGAATCCACAACACTATCAAATTAAGACACCTTAAAATTTGGTACATTGTATTTTCCTAGACAATTTTACTTTCTAGAATTTATCTCACATACCTATAAGTCTACCATGCTTAGAATATTGATGCGAGGCTCCTTGCTTTATTTCTAGAGATCCTTGATAAAAGCCAAAGAAGAATCAGTAATATTATTGGTCCTGACTCGAGGTCTTTGTATCATTATTTACATTATTCGGACTATTGTCCTCATCTTTGTCGCCATATTTATTACAACGTTTCGGCCTTTCAGTATCTGTCTATATTTCTGAGATGCGACAAATTATGTACACTATTTACATTATTCGGACTATTGTCCTCATCTTTGTCGCCATATTTATTACAACGTTTCGGCCTTTCAGTATCTGTCTATATTTCTGAGATGAGATATTATGTACACTATTTACATTATTCGGACTATTGCCCTCATCTTTGTCGCCATATTTATTACAACGTTTCGGCCCTTCAGTATCTGTCTATATTTCTGAGATGAGGTATTTATACATTATTTACATTATTCGGACTATTGTCCTCATCTTTGTCGCCATATTTATTACAACGTTTCGGCCTTTCAGTATCTGTCTATATTTCTGAGATGAGGTATTATGTACACTATTTACATTATTCGGACTATTGTCCTCATCTTTGTCGCCATATTTATTACAACGTTTCGGCCTTTCAGTATATGTCTATATTTCTGAGATAAGGTATTATGTACACTATTTACATTATTCGGACTATTGTCCTCATCTTTGTCACCATATTTATTACAACGTTTCGGCCCTTCAGTATCTGTCTATATTTCTGAGATGAGGTATTATGTACTATTTACATTATTCGGACTATTGTCCTCAGCTTTGTCGCCATATTTATTACAACGTTTTAGTCTTTCAGTATCTGTCTATATTTCTGAGATGAGGTATTATGTACACTATTTACATTATTCGGACTATTGTCCTCATCTTTGTCGCCATATTTATCACAACTTTTCGGCCTTTCAGTATCTGTCTATATTTCTGAGATGAGGTATTATGTACACTATTTACATTATTCGTACTATTGTCCTCATCTTTGTCGCCATATTTATCACAACGTTTCGGCCTTTCAGTATCTGTCTATATTTCTGAGATGAGGTATTATGTACACTATTTACATCATTCGGACTATTGTCCTCATTTTTGTCGCCATATTTATTACAACGTTTCGGCCTTTCAGTATCTGTCTATATTTCTGAGATGAGGTATTATGTACACTATTTACATTATTCGGACTATTGTCCTCATCTTTGTCGCCATATTTATTACAACGTTTCGGCCTTTCAGTATCTGTCTATATTTCTGAGATGAGGTATTATGTACACTATTTACATTATTCGGACTATTGTCCTCATCTTTGTCGCCATATTTATCACAACGTTTCGGCCTTTCAGTATCTGTCTATATTTCTGAGATGAAGGTATTATGTACACTATTTACATTATTCGTACTATTGTCCTCATTTTTCGCCATATTTATCACAACATTTCGGCCTTTCAGTATCTGTCTATATTTCTGAGATGAGGTATTATGTTCACTATTTACATTATTTGGACTATTGTCCTCATCTTTGTCGCCATATTTATTACAACGTTTCGGCCTTTCAGTATCTGTTTATATTTCTGAGATGAGGTATTATGTACACTATTTACATTATTCGGACTATTGTCCTCATCTTTGTCGCCATATTTATCACAACGTTTCGGCCTTTCAGTATCTGTCTATATTTCTGAGATGAGGTATAATGTACACTATTTACATTATTCGGACTATTGTCCTCATTTTGTCGCCATATTTATCACAACGTTTCGGCCTTTCAGTATCTGTCTATATTTCTGAGATGAATTATAATGTACACTATTTACATTATTCGGACTATTGTCCTCATTTTGTCGCCATATTTATCACAACGTTTATTTCAGTATCTGTCTATATTTCTGAGATGAGGTATTATTACACTATTTACATTATTCGGACTATTGTCCCTCATTTTTGTCGCCATATTTATTACAATAAAGGAAGCCCTTCAGTATCTGTCTATATTTCTGAGATGAGGTATGTACACTATTTACATTATTCGGACTATTGTCCTCATCTTTGTCGCCATATTTATTACAACGTTTCGGCCTTTCAGTATCTGTCTATATTTCTGAGATGAGGTATTATGTACAATATTCACATTTCACACACACACGGATATATTGTGTATAAATAACTGAATTTAGTCAAGAGCACTTTTCCCTATTGACCTGATATCAGCAATCGGTCTTGTTAACTGAAATTCTTTATCTCAAAAACGTATCGCTGGTCGAAAAAGTGAAACTGAATTTTTGCGACTGATTTCAGTTTCAAAGCAGATAAGCAATGCTAACTGACGAATGTAAACAACATTACTTTGAGGGTTATAAACAATATGGATGTGATTTATGCGTCCTTCATATATATATATATATGTGTGTGTTTGTGTGTGTGTGTGTGTGTGTGTGTGAGTATATATATATATATATATATATATATATATATATATTTATTTATTTATATATATATATGTGTATTTGTAAATGTGTAAACTCACACACACACACACACACACACATATATATATATATATATATATATATATATATATATATATATATATATATAATCGTTTTTCTCGCCGGCTGGGTTGGAAATGAAAACATATGCTATTTCTAATATTGTTGAAAAGAGAAATCGTGGATCAATGTTTATTTCGTATCAGTTTAAGAAATCACTTTGGAATGATTTTTTTAAGTTTCCGCACCCAAATTTGTATATATTCTAATGCTGAACGTATCCTTTTGCGAGATCGTTCTACGATCATGCTCAAAAGACAAGTCTTTTTAACTCTTTGAGCTCTGATCACAGCTTAACCCGCGTTAGAGATTAATGACGTAATGCCCAGCCACCGGTTGAACAGTAGTAGAGAAAAATCACTTAAATACCAGCCACCAGTAAACACTTGTAACTAATCTATCTATCTCATCCTATTCATATCTGTTTAGCTGCATATTTCATCATTTTGGTATCTATCTATCTATCTATCTCATCCTGTTCATCGTCCTAAGTATGACAATAAATTACATCCGCGTTCTGAGTAAGACGATAAACTACGTTCAACAGCAAGGCCTCTGATAATACGTTTTTGAAAAAAATAATATTACTAGCTTTTCGTTTTTGAGGAAAAAAATATTAACAGAAGTAAATTTTTGACAAAACAAAAACATAACCAGAAAAAAAATTGTCG